CCAATGCCGCCGCCTTCTAACACCACCACCGCCACTACCATTATCACCACCATCCACCACCTCCACCAATCCACCATTTCTTTTAAATTTTTTTATAGAAGAATGTTATTTAGTTATTTTAATTTAGTTGTCACTAAGAGGGGTATTTTGGAGAATTCAATTTAAAATTCATTTCATTCTAAATATTAAATTAGTCCAACCAAACACTAGAATGGTTATTATCATTTTTTTCGTACACATTTTATATTTGCAACCAAACAATAGAATGTGAATGACCATTCCATTTATCCAATTCTCATTCCATTCTCACTTGCATTGCATTCCATTCCTGCATACCAAACACAATATAGATTTTCTGACTAGTTTCAAACTTGGACTCCTAGTCAGCCACGTGTTGGGTCTAATGTGGGCAATTGGCCCAGTTAATTTGTTTTTGTTATTTATAATTTCTATATACAAATTTTAATAATTATAAAAGTGCCCCATTGAACTCTTAAAAAAAAAATCATAAAAGACCTTAAATTTTTTTCAAAATATTGAAAAAAAACTCATTTTCCTAACAAGATCAACAAAATTCAAGAAAGTCTCATGTCTTTTCTCCTCTACTGGGTCTCACAAAATTTTTAAAAATCAAAATTTAGAAAAGATCTCTCATTTGCTATTTCTTATCAAGCTTTCTTATAAGTTAGAATTCATAAATTAATAGGTCATTCCTCACTGGTCTTAAAAAATAATAATTAAAACCACTAATATCTACTAGAAATCTGTTTTTATTAAATTATGTTATGAGAAGTAGAGTATCGTTACATTTCTAGGTTGGTGGGCGAGGTCCAAAAAAATTCACTATTGTGATAACATAATTCTCATACTACTCCAGGTTAAGCACGTTTAATTCCGGAGTTCTGATAGGTTCACGGCCATCATGACTTTAAAACGCGTTGTGTCATAAAAGGGAGCCCGACGTCCCCGTCGGCACACTTTCGGCTGGGTCAAGCTCTGATACCATTTGTAACAGCTCTCACTTTACCCGACACAATATTGTCCGCTTTTGGCTCCCCCAAACTAGAGACTTCCCAGGAGGTCATCCATCTTGGTACTACTTCAGATTAAGCATACTTAACTTCGGAGTTCTGATAGGTTCACAGCCATTACGGCTTTAAAATGTGTTGTGTTATAGAATGGTGATGAACCTATATATAACACTTCACTCTTCCACACCCAAGCAATGTGGGAATTGTGAGCATATATAGCACTTCACTCTTCCACACCCAAGCAATGTGGGAATTGTGAGCACATGTAGCTCGCACTAAAGCCTCACTTCTCACATGCCTGCTTGCCTACCGAGCGCTCACAGTAATTTTCTTTGAAGAGAAGTAAAAAAAAAAAAAAAAAAAAAAAAATGACGAAGAAGAGTAAGAAGGGGAAAACTAAGAAGAGTAAGAAGGGGAAAACGAAGAAGAAAGAATTGGAAGGATTTTTTGGAAAAAAAAAAATAATAATTTTAGAGGGTCATTTTTTATAATTTAATAAACTATAAGCATAAATTGTAAAAGGGTTGCGATCGAAAAACAACCATGTGGCATACATATAGAGTGTATAACCCTTTATACGTGAAAAATCCCTAGCATTCAATTTTTGAACAAACAAGGGACTGAATGCTGAAAAAACTAAAGTGTCCTTCTATAACTGAATAAAAAAATGGTAAAAAAAAATTCAATGTGAAATGGCTAAAGTGTCCCTCTTTTTTTCTTTTTATATATAAGGGCATTATTGGAAGAGAAAAAGGGTATTTTCAAAATTTTCTGTCTTAAAAATAACCAAACAGTGACTTCAAGCCATTCTTTGATAATTTTTTCAAACTTAACGCACTTGTATATTTTAAAAAATCTTTGTTTATATTTGCCTAAAATTTAAACATTAAGGGTATTTTTTTTCACTTTGTCCAATGTAAAAAATTAAAATTAAAAGGGAGATGATTCTTGCATCGAATAGTTACAGTGAATTGCTAGACATACTTTTTTAATTGGCCAATTTTGAAACAAATAAGGAAGCGGAGCCCTCCACTTAGTTATATTTGGTATAAATAGCCAATTAAAAATGATTCGATTAGATAATTCACTGCAAGTGTTCGGTGTAAGTGGGTGTTTGGGATTGCTTCTCTACTACTGAAAAACACTTCCATTTTAAAAAATTGCATTGCAATGTGTTTGGTGAAAAAAAAAAAAAAAAAGCTCTTATAGATGGTAGAGGTTAGGTCTAAAAAGCCCGTTTAAGTGAAGTTAGAAATTGTAGCTTTTAAAATTGCGTTACTGGAATTTAATCCCTTTATATTTTTTATAAATACAATTTTATCCCTTCTATAAACAAATAGCAAACAATATCCGGGACTCTGTAACAAACGAAGATCCTAGTTTATTTTGGACTCTCCAGCCGCCTTCTAATCTCAGTTTATTTTGGGACTTTGAATTATATAATTGTTAGATGTTTAATTTTTAATAAATTATGACTTGTAATTTGTTTTTAAAATACCTCTAATACATTTATGCTATTATATTAAATAACAAGTAATAAGATTATTAATTGTGGTTAAAGAATTTAGTTTTATTTTATGAAATGCTGTCTATATTGCAAAATATTATATTATTAAATTTCATTATTGGATAGCATATGAGCAAATTTGCTTATTTTATGACTTGAAGATCCCAAATCAGATACAAATTAATCATCATTAAAATATGTTTAACTCATTTATATTTTAGTACTCAATACAAATTCGATATCATAAACAAAATATGTGATATTAAAAAAAAAAAAAAAAAAAAAAAAAAAAAAAACCAATACAAGTTGATCTTTATATAAATTATTGAACTCAATGAAATTTATAATATTTAATATTAGGGAATTAGTATATATTTAGTGTAAGGGTAATATAGTAAAATTAATAACATTGTTACCAAACAAATTTAGAAGTGCTTCAAGTATAAAAAATATTTTATACAATGTATCACTAAACGTTTAATTGCGTTTTACTGTTACCACTTTTATAACAGTTCTATTATTAAAAGTATTTTTAACATTCTAACAGCAATCCCAAACGGATTCTAAGTATCACTACTCAAATTAAAATTAATAGGGTACCATGGCCCAAGGGACAAGTTTGAAAAATTTCGAAAGACATTTTTTATAATTCCATAAGCTGAATGCCTAAAAACTGAAAAATGTTAATGGGCTAGCATGGCCCGGGGACACTGTTGTTCCCGGGCCATGCTGGCTCCATCCTGGTTGGTGGGATCAGAGACAGTGCGCTTTTTACAGCGGCTGTGTTATGGAATGTTTAGCAGCAGATGCTGCTAATCGTCCATTACGAGTCCACCAGCAATCCAGTGGATTGGATAGTCAAAACTAACTCTTAAGTTACATATACATGAAAAGATTATAGCTTGAGAACATGTCTAGGAATCTACTTAGCATGTAATTATGGTTAAAGGTTCACAAAGTACAACAGGATATTCAAAATTGAATATTATTTAATTGGTAAGATTATTTTATTGAATTTTTTTTCATTTATATAGTTTGAGAACATGTCTAGGAATCTACTTAGCATGTAATTAAGGTTAGAGATTCAAAAAGTACAAGGGCATATTCAAAATTGAATATTATTTAACTGGTAAGATAATTATCAGTGTGCCAATAATTGATTCAATAAATCAGATCAGATCATCAGACACACCATTCAAGTTGTTCCCTTAAACCATATTTGCACCCACAAATTGAGCTGCCCAGATCCCAATTCAAACAATTAGAGGTGTATCTCTTGAATTCTTCTAGTCCCAAATAACTTTTTTCATTTAGAACGGACAATTTTTTTAACTTGAAAACTTTTGGTACACGAGGCTGTAGGGTAATTTTTGGAGAGAGAGCATTTGAGAGATTTGGGGGGATTATCCCTCCAAATCCTTTTCTATTCTATCTTTTCTCTCTACTAAAGTCATTCAAACACACCTTTTTTTTTTTTTTTCATCATCCAAATGAAGGTGGTTGTAGCATATGAGAATCAAACTCTCCCGAGTTTACAGTTCGCCTCAGGAGACCCTTTAGGGCCATAGGAGTGGATTTTAGATACCATGTTTCCTTCAAAGAATGCATCAAACACTTACTTAACTATCACTGGCTTGATTTCCGGCTATCTAGCACAAGTAAAACAAATGCTAAAAAACAGGTATACACGCAACTCAATGCACACATTGAAAATAGGGTTGATCAAACCAGCCCCGAAAAAGCTGGGATTTGAAGTACAAACAAATTGGCATTGTCCCTATCAGCCATCAGCACAGAACCATCCAAACCAGAATAAACAAACTGCTTGCTGACAATGCAGGACATCTTCTGAGCTTTGTTTATATCAATCTTTCATGTCCTTTTCATTGCATAAATTAATTATGGCGCTAAGCATTGTTTTCATCCACACTCCTCCCCTAAAAGCTTGAAAGGCCCCCCCAACTCACCGCATATCCGAATATGCGCTCGAGCTAACATCGGAGATTCTTGCTTGGATTCACCATCTTCTTCATTCCCGTCTGTTTTAGTCATCAGATCAGTTGCAGCGAACTTCCGATTTCTTTTCATTTTTCTTATCTTTCTGATCCTTCAATTCCTGCTAACTAGAGTTCCTGTTTTAAAGTTATTACAATAATCAAACACCTGTCACACTATTTTATTTCTCACCTAGATTATATGCAACTGTCATGTACATAGTAATAATTATAAGAACCATTTAGTGTAGTATCAAACAACATAAGAATCATAACAACCATGTCAAAGTCTTATCGAATTCTACATTGGACCACCTTAACTAGATAGAAAAGCACAGCATTTGGTGTAGTATTATCAAACAACAAACCTTTATAACATGTATATATGATCTTCTGGACATAATAGTATATCATATTGTAGACTCATATATAGTACTTCAAATGTCTTTGATCAAACAAATCACATCCATGGAAGCTCAGAAGATGTTGGTGATCCAAGACGCGTCCAGAGATGTTAGTTGGAGCGCAATCAGATGGATCCTGGATGGCTCATTGCTTAAACCAGGAGACGAGCTTACACTGCTCGGAGTTCTTCACAAGGTTATTAATCCTAGTACGTTATCTTTCATGGGAGCTGGGAAGTTCTGTAAGAATTCATGCTTTTTTTTTTTTTTTTCAACCCTAATATTCTCTATATAAGTATAAATGGAGGTAAATATGATATCAATGAAAAGGTGAAGGTAAAAAAGAAAAAAGAAAACCAGTATCGTATAATTAATGTTGCTCACTAACTTCTACTTCTTCTTCTCTTCTCTAGTGGGATACAGGAGTAAGGTGGATTCGAGTTCAATATTTGGAGTTAACCCGAAAATTGTGGAGGAAGAAGTCGCCAGAAAGATGGAGAAGTACTATAAAAATGAAGAGATTGTGCATATTTTTGAGCAGTGTAAAATGAAAAAGGTTGTACAAACTCGAACACTAACGAAATGTTGCATTTACTACTGTTCTTTGGTCATAGAACTTCCTAAATTTCGCCATCTGATATATATTTTGTCTTTCAAGAGAAATGATTTTCTATCACGTACAACCCTTTTAAGTCATGCAGTCCCATAATTTTCATTTCTGCTCCATCTGAACATATAACTCGTGAAGGCAACATCTAAAAGTTAAATTCTACATGTCATGTTTGCAGAATTATCAATTTAGTTCATCTGATAATTTTAGTTCAGAGCTTATATTTCCAACTTCTAGATGAGTTAAGCTTTATGCAGTTAACAGTCACTTTATGAGTTATTCCATTGCAATATGGTTTAAATGTTCACAAAATTTCAAATACTACAATATTTTGTTTAATTTGAGCCTAGTTCAGTTTTGCATGCTTTCAACTCTTAAATAATTTAATTTGACCACTTCCATTATACACTCCAACACAACCATAATTTATTATTATTTTTTAAAAAAGAAGAAATGAATGAAAGATGAATCTTATCCCTCAAAGGAATAACATATCTTATAAAATAATCATTTAGTGAAATATGAATGATGGATTATACGGGGAAAATGTGCCCTCTGATCAGAAAGATTCTACATGTTAACGTAATTAGATTATAATATAGCAGTTATATAGATTATTGCCCTAATTGTTGTATAACCGTTGCTGATGTTTAACCTATTTATATCTCTCATGTACATTGATTCATACACACCTGAATATATGTTCATATTCAACATATATCTCTGTCTCTCTCCATCGCTCTCTTATATTCAACATATATATCTGTCACTCTCTTATATTAAACATGCTAATATGAATCATTCCTCTGATCTTCGTCACAAATCTGCATCATCAATTATTATTTTTTATTTTTATTTTCTTTTAAAATTGTTGAAATTGCGTTCCATCACAAATCCACACCGTACGCGTCTCTCCTTCCTCAGACGCGCAGCAGGCTGACACGGACTCTCTGCCGCCGCTGTCAGCCACCAACGGCGGTCAATCTCAGCCGCCTATCGTCACCCCAGCCTTCCGCTCCTTCATCACATGCTTCTCCTCATCCCTCTGCCAAGGCTTCGCCCAACGCCGCCCTTGGTTGGAGCTCGTAGATCGCTCCTCCACGACGCCGACACCGACTGCCCTCTGCCGCTGCTCTCTACCGTCGGCCGTAAATTGCTCGCCTTCACCTCCGTCCTTGGCCACCGTTCGGTCCGTCTCGCCAGATCCGTCCCCTCATTCAAGTCCCGGAGACCTTTTCTTCTCTCTGCAGATCCCCGCTCAGTTCTTCTCTTGTCTCAATTAAGTCCCACACCCTCACTGGATATGGGTGTTTCTCACTCCACTGGCACTGTTCTCTATTGTGATAATCAGAGTGCTATTTACCTCACATTTTTTCCAAAGCTCATCCGCCACGCAGAGCTCTACCACCTTGAGTTTGAGAGGGATGCTAACATAATAGATTATATTATAGCCGTTGTATATGTTGTTAACATAATTAGATTATATTATAGCCATTGTATAAATTTTTGCCGTAATTGGTAATTGGTGTATAGCCGTTGGTGATCTCTAACCTATTTATATATCGCCTTGTACATGATTCATATACCTCAACATATATCTCTGTGTCTCTCTATCTCTCTCTTATATTCAACTTATATCTTTGTCACTCTCTTAAAGTCAACACTACAGATTTCTATAAGGCTCTTAATCAAGCATGTTGCAAGTTGTAGTTTTTAATAGCTGTAAAGAAATTGGTTCACTAGATGATTACTTCTTGTACAAAAATTTTGTCAGATCAAGTTCAGAATAGAGTTGTATGCCGGAAATTCTCCGAAGGTGGTTGCTCTGGAAGCTGCTAAAAGTTTAAGGGCAACATGGGTGATACTTGACAGGTCAGTCAAAATTTAAACTCTTCTCTGTGATCCAATACAAAGTAGTAGTGAAATGGAAATGCAATTCAAATATATGATTTGTTTCAGTGTTATATGATGTACTCTTGCTGCACATATATTACATGCAAAATTATAAACTACTCAGAGTGCAGGTATAATATTCAACATTACTCAACAGATCTAAAATGTTTGATACTTTAAAAGGCTCAGAGAAATACACACACACACATATAAAAATGGTATGAGGAATATAGCTTTTTGGGGAGTGACAATTTGAGGCAACACATCTGCCTCCATGTTTTTGAAGTTTATTCAAGGTAAAAGGTAACTCTCAAACATATGAAAATAGTAAATTGTGCTATTAGAGAACATAACTTTTTTGAATAGTCATCTAATTGTTTATCAATATCTAAAAAACTTTAATAATACGGATGAAATACAAAATAGAGAAATTGGGATTTGCTACATATAATTAAGGGGGAAATTAAGTAAACTACAACAGGAAATGAATTAAAATGGAATTTTGAGCCCCATTCACTTCTAAAATGTTGACATATAATTTCTGTCATTTTTGGTCCTAATAGCTACTAATTATAATATGTTGTTGATCTTGAATTGAGTTTCTGCATGAAGAATTGTGAACCAATTTGGCTACATGCACATGGTTTAAGGCCAATATCCATTTAAATAGTATGGACTATATATATATATATGTTGGCAATCATATCAAAATACACTTTGACTAAAACACTTCTATATTCATATCACACTGTAATGATCATACCACAATATATATATATATATATATATATATAGTATAAATAAAACAATATACTAAAATAATAGGCCAGTAAAATAACAGCAAACACATATTAAAGTAGTAGAGAGTAAGAAACTTTTGACCGGTTTAATGGAAAGACACGCAATACTGTGCTGTTACAGTTTCCCTACGTGCAGATTGTGATGATTATGAAAGGTTTCAAGATACAACTACAGTGTCTTCTATGCGCACGTTTACAAAAGAACATTTACCAAGTCTTGTACTGTCATGTTGCCCCCAAAAACTCAAAGATAAAAATATAATATAATGTATGGGTTGCAGGAAGAGAATAAAGAAGAGACATATAAGGATATAAGTTAAGCATCATAAATTTATTGAAGAGACCATATATTTATAGGCTACCTCATGCCTCTAGCCAATAGACACAACCCTTGTTAGACACCTTTTCATATTTACTCACATCTCTTTTATAGTACAAACCTAACAATATATATATATATATATATATATATATAGATGTAAGCATATCACTAGCAAAGCTTCATGGTTCATACTTGCACCACAGCAGGATATAGTTGAAATATTTCAGTTCTTTGCAGAAGTAACTAGAAACTGAAAATAATGAAGATTGATCTTCAGAAGATAATATATATATATGTTGTATCCTTACTTTTCTTTTCGGTGCAGGCAGATGAAAAAAGACAAGAAATACTTCTTGGAGAAGCTCTCATGTGGAATATCGAGGATGAAACGGGACAACTCCATTGAACAACTGAGAGGGCCAAAAAACACCACTGGCAACTTTACATACGATGAAATGATACCCGGAAGTACAGAAGATAAACTTTCTCCAATAACTAGTTTATATGCCATCATTTTATCTGATTCGTCTTGATCACCATTAAATTCTCAGCAGCAAACACTCTGCACACAACTATCAAATTTGCTCAAAATCATACCGTTAATGTCTGTCTTGTGAATTCACCATTGTTCCATCGTTTAATTTCCTGTCACTCTCTATCACAGACTCAATATCTGGAATTTTGTAGATCTCTCTCACTCTCATACTAATTTACTAGCATTCAACTATATATAAATCTGATGAGACCAAAAATAAAACAGAAAATGCCTTACACAAAGAACATGTTTATGAGGATAACAATCAATTTGAGTCGATCAAGACATGAATTTACTATTAGTTCATACACAAGAACAAATGCAGGTTAAGAATTGCACTCACATATTTGTTCATGACATTTCAGAATACTCAAGGTCTCAAAAGACCACCTTAGGCAAAGAACAAGGTGGTGATGTACCCCCATGGGACTACTCACAGAAATTGCCTTTAGTATACAAATTCTCACTGAACGAGCAAATGTTGAGTACTTCATCCTCAAGTTCAAGCCTAGGCTTCACTGAAACCGCAAGCTTTTTCAGTACTTCAGCTTCAAGTTCAAGCTTGGGGTACACTGACACCTCAAGTTTTAGCATTTCTGAGGCGAGGAGCTCCTCCTTGCGCATTGAGGATGCAGACTATATTACAAATGCAGAACAAGAGACAGCCGGCAGAGAACAAACGGAAGCATATATTACAGGTAGTCCAGATGAAAAACAAAAAGAGCAGCACATCAGTGATGGTGATAGGAAGGGATTGCCTAAAGCGGAGGAGAGTTTTAGAAATTCCGTTTGCAGCGTTTGCAATAACACACGGCCCAGGATTGAATTGAAGAAAGACTTCACGTATGCAGAGCTCCATGCAGCCACACAAGGGTTTTCCAAGAAGAACTTCCTATCTGAAGGTGGATTTGGCTCTGTCTACCAAGGGGAGCTGAAAAACGGGGTGAAGATTGCAGTGAAGCAACATAAAGTTGCAAGCTCGCAAGGAGAGAAGGAATTCAAGACTGAAGTTCATGTACTCAGCAAGGCGAGACACGAGAACTTGGTGATGCTGTTGGGCTCATGCTCGGAAGGAAGTCGAAGGCTTCTTGTTTATGAGTATGTTTGCAACGGCTCGCTGGATCAACATTTGTCAAGTAAGAAAACAACAAAGCTATCAAATTTATATCGTACCTAGGAGCTTACCTGTGTCACCAAGTATGACATTAATTCAAGAGGAATTTTATTTTTATTTGTATTTTTTTTCGGAATGTGCAGAATCTGCCCGAAGCCCTCTTAGTTGGGACCAGAGGATAAAAATAGCGTTGGGAGCTGCCAAAGGATTGGAATATCTGCACAGAAATAACATCATCCATAGAGACATGAGACCAAGCAACATTCTCATAACCCATGATCATGAACCACTGGTAATTCACTAGATACTTACTTCAACTTGATGATATTTACTGTTTAGGCAGGTTTCTTAGATATTCAAAGAAGAAAAAGCTCAAGAATCAACTTAAAATTAGGTCATTGATACAAAATAGATTTATCTTCATATTTGTGATAGGATTAGTTAGGTAATCCACTCCATAGAAGGCTCTATGTTGGAGCTAAAAATGGCCAATTTGAGTTCTAGAAAACAACATAAAAGCATCAAATAAACCTTGTATATGCAACTAAACCAGTGTCCAATTGGGCCTTTGTAACATGTTCAATGTGTTAGCTAGGAGATTTTGGTCTTGCAAGAACTCAATATGAAGACGCGGATCGATCCACAGAGACCAGAGTTGTTGGTACTCTCGGATACTTAGCCCCGGAATATGCAGAAAGTGGGAAAGTGTCAACCAAGACAGATGTTTATTCCTTTGGTGTAGTTCTGTTACAGCTGATCACTGGACTGACGATGAATGACAAGATACTTGGAGACAAAAGTCTTGTGGGATGGGTAACAACCAGAAACACCACCTTTTTTTTTTTTTTGTTCAATTCATATACATTCACATGGAAAAAAATTTCTTATGGTATGCGGTTTCTATGGCTTGCTTTTACAGGCAAGACCACTTCTGAAAGAAAAGAACTACCCGGATTTAATTGACGAAAGGTTAGAATTCCATGATGTTCACCAGCTCCTTTGGATGGTTCGAGTGGCAGAAAAATGTCTGACCAAGGATTCTCATAAGAGAATATCTATGATCTGGGTAAGTTATGTTTGAGCCTAATCTCTGCACGCTATAAAACAGCAAGTCAAGGTTGAAAATTGCCTTCAAAAATCACATTTCATTGCATGTTGAACACAATAACATACCCTATAAAAGATGCAAATGCCTATGCTTTGACATGTCTAGCAATATATATATATTCATATATATGTAGTATCAAGTAATGTAAGCTCCGAAAGCCTTTACAAATTATTGATCTATTATATATAATATGATGCAAGAAAAGATTTAAAATTCTATTTTATTATAATTCAAATTCTACCACCTAGTTTTTGGTTTATAATCCCTTTTCTCTTCCTTGATATTTTCAGCCTATGTTGAGATCGATGTTAAGCTCACTCCTAAAATAATCGTACAATCTTTGAAAGTGAGTCTATTTACACTTCTAGTGAGAAAAACCTTAATCTAAGTCATATTTGATTCACTTTTAATTGATATTAAATGTTCGTATCTCTTTTTAAAATAAGTACATTTTCATTATTATAAGATTATATGCTATTATAAATTCTATGATAGCTCAGTCCTATATGACCATTAAAGTCTCATCCAATAGATAATTTTCCTCCTCCATGTATACCTTGAAATAATGCATCTATATATATCAAAATATCCTTTAATATGCTCATATAGTCCAACTTGGGGTGCATAAGCACTAATTAGTTTAACTATATTTTCTGATATTACAATTTTTACTAACATTATTCTACCCATTGCTACTAATAGAAAAAAAATATATTTTTAAATTCTTATCAACAATTATTCTACTCTATTTATGTCTATCTTTTACAGTGTAATAGGGTTTATGTCCTCTATTTTTAGCAGCTCTAGCTTTCTCTTCTACCCTCTTAGGTCTTGTTTACAATTTTTATTATTATTATTATTTTTTTTTCGGAATTTTGAGCAATTGAAATATATGAATGATAATTACATGGTGGGCCATTAGGCCAAGTACAATGGCTTGATTAACCGTTAATGGAGGTCTTATTTGATAACTTAATTCAATACTTAATTGTGGACAAATTAAATACTTATTCAATTGAGTATGTTTGATAATGTAATATAGATGCCACTTAAAAAATAAGTGCCGGTTAATTGTGTTTGATGATAACACAACATCGATACCAATCAAAAAAAGAAAAAAAAATAATAATAATATTTAATTATACCACCTAAAATGAGGTTAAATATATTTTTATTTTTATTAAAATATGTGGGGACTGTGTGGATATTTTAATAAAAATCTTATTTATTTTGGTTTAATATATTTTATTAGCCATTTTATTATTATGTTTTCCTCATTATTACCTATATTGCTATGTTTTACTAAAAATTATTATTAGGGGTGATCACGGATCGAATCGATTCGGTTTGGGGTAAAGTTCAATTCGAACCGGTCCTCACGGATTGGAGAAATTTGAAACCGAACCGATTCATGTGGACCTTCAATCCGAACCAAACCGATCCGTGAAATAACGGATCGGTTTGGGCAGATTGGGCTTTTCAAATAGCCCAAAATAATTAGATTTTATACCCATTAAAATATCAAATTAGGAATTAAAAACTAGTACTTGAAACTAGAAAAATAAAATAGATTTGTAAATCATATATCAGGTAACATGCTAACAGTAATAGCAATAAAATTTGTAAATCATATACCAAATAACAACAATAGATTTGTAAATTATATACTTAATAATAGGCAATATAAATTATCCAAATAGAATAATGAATAAAAAAAAATAGAAATACAGTAAGTATATTCAATATTGTATATTGTATATATATAGTTATATATATATGATATATTAATATATTATTTAGGCAACGGTTCGGATTGGTTTTTTCAGGGCTCAATCCGTTAACCGAACCGCGAATAGCAGATTGCTATTTTTTTAAACCATCATCGAATCATTAGATCTGAAAACTAAACCAAACCATGGATTGGTTCGGACCGGATTGACGGATTATTTGCTCACCCCTAATTATTATTACCTTCATTATTACTCTCTGTCAAACTTCTATATTGTCTCTTCTCTATGAGTGAGAGATATATGTATATATACACTTCTCTATTTTACATATTTTATGGGCAACCCCGTCTTCCTTCGGACGTTCCAACATGATATTCACTTATTATTGAACATTAAACGCTTAAATTTAAATTAAAGAAGTATCAAAGAAATTTTCAATTTCTAACTACAACTTAAAATTTTTAGTGCTTAATCTTTTCTGTATCAAACAACACCCTAGTCTGCAATCAGTTGGAGCATATAAAATTATATGATATAACTTTTCAAGTGATCTCACTAATTTCCTACTCGATATTAATGCAGGTACTTAATTATTTGAATTACATAGATCAAGGCAACACAACTAATGATAATGATTGTATGGAGTTCTCTCCTGTGCTATCAGATTCACAGAATAGCATTGGGGAGTCCCCTGGATCAGAAGATTATGCAGCAGCTGGCAAAAATGAAGAATTATCATCATCAGCTAATAACAGAAATCACATGAGTAGGTCACTTTCACCCTCTTTTGTATTAACACATACCTTGTCTGCAAAAAGTTCTGGACAATCCTCTTCTGATGTTGGAAAGACTTACGAAAAAAAGAGGGCAACACAAACGAGTTATAATGACATGGTCATTTAAGTGTGGTAGTCATCGCTAACTGCTGTACCTTTGATCTAGTTTTTGCAATTAATGGAAATCTACTTCCTAATGGTATTTTAAATACAAATATATATGCAATAATCAAGTGAAGCAAGTAGACAATTTATAGCATTAATGTAAGAGAAATAAAGGTAGAGAAATTGCAAACTATAACGCGACAATTTTTGCGAGGTTTGAAAACTCATACTCCTCGGTTCAAGATCCCTCTTGAGACTTTCCTAATCCACTAATGGATTTTCCTTACGAGTGGAGAGCAAATCTTCACAAGAAGCAAATCTTTGCTTCTCCTTTGATTGCTAAGAGAACAACGTACCTTTTCCTAATCTTCTTTTAGGTCACACGAACCCTTACAATGTTTTTGAAGTAACAAGTAATAGTACAAAAGTATCTCTTTGAAGATTGTTGTACAAATGTAAGCTCACAAGACTAGGAGTAAAAATGAATCAAATGAAGCTCAAATTTATGATGATGATTGAATGAACAAGAGAAATGATTGCTTGAGTAAATGCTCTTGAATGGTCTTTCAAATGTTTTATCAAAGATAGATCTTACCTTAATCAATACCTACTCTTATCTAGAGTCTTTTTGCTGTTGAAGGTAAATGAAAGGAACTAATTGTCGGAATATGACTGTTGGAGATATTTGACAAGCATTAAATGCATTTACAACCGTTATGGGCATTTATAGGTGACCAACTAACCGATTACATGGCTTGATCTACTCAGTTAGATGAGATTTAGATCTCATCTAAATGGTTACATAATCTTGTCTAACCGGTTACATGAAGATAAATGCTCAAAAACATTTATCTGGTTTAGTTTAACTGATCGGTTACTTTGCGTGAACTAACCAGTTACTTCATGTGATCTGATCGGTTACATGTTTTGATCTAAATGGTTACATCATGTTTTCTAGAGAACTTATTTCTCTGTCTCAATGCATCTAATCGGTTAGATCATTCTGTATATATAACGACCCGAATCTGGAGATCCGAATCGCTAACATGGTCCTCACCTGAACCCGTGGACACATTAGGGGTAAAATGGTAATTTTACATTAAAGAGGAACAATTTGTTGGGGATTTTTAATATTTTTATACCATCTTATTTTTAAGTTCATTCACGTAGTCATATTAAAATGTTACACTTATATATTCATATCACAATATAATCATAACAATATATATATAGTATAAATAAAACAATATACTGAAATAATAGGCCAGTAAAATATATAAAATCAATAAGAAGAGTAAAGAAACTTCTGGCTTGTTTAATGGATAGGCACGTAGTATGCGCTGTCCTAAAGCCTTTATAACCTCCCTACGTGCAGGTTGTGACGACTATAAAAGGCTCCAAGATACAACTCCAGTGTCTCTATAAGCACATTCACAAAGAGATGAATCATCGAGTCTTTGTGTCATGTTGCCCATAAACTCAGATATATATATATATATATAATATTTTGGTGGAATGAAATAGAGGTTTAAACAGAAAGAAATATAAAGGATGGAAGGCAAAACCGTATATAATCTATTACAATAACTATATATTTATAGGCTATTTTCACACCCTTAGCCAAATAGACCACAACTAGTCATAAGGGGTCACACCTCTTCAAAAATAAGTTTTAAAAAACTTTTATATTTTATTCAAAAAACCTAACAATTCCCCACAAGTTTTTAAAACTTCAAACTTCAAAATATCATATAAAGATATAAATATAGAAATATGGAAAAATAAAATAACTTGGCAACTGAATACTATGCAATAGGTGTAAGAGTCTTCCGGACTTGAACTTGCACTTCGTGTTAATGTCTCCATCTGAGGAACCCGAGTGACTCAGTCTTGAACTCAGCCCCTTGAATCAGATTTCAACATGTAACACACACAATATTGACTTAAGACTTGGTTAGCGATGTAGCGCTATTAATGGCCATGCGCTGGTATCTTGATTCTCATGAGAGTTACTAAAGAACAACCCAATTCGCATAGTCGCGGCCTCACGACAACTCTCACTTAGGTGAGTCCTCCAAAGGTACATGTGACCTATACCTTGCAAGAGTTTGCTTGCCTCGGGCTCATCAGGGCAATGCCCTTCCTAACATCACACTAAATAGCATTGGTGCCATAGGGATGGGTAGGAGTGTATCTTCATGAGAAACCTCCTAAAAAGATATTGCTATAAATAAGTCACACAGTACAGATTGTTTTTACCCGTTGAACCTAATTTATGATATCTCCAATCACAAAGGACGGGTTACTTCCGAAGGTGACTCTCTTGGGGCTTAACCCATCCCCCTCAACACTTTTAGCACTACGCTCCTAGAAAAATAAGACATCATTAGTCTCATTATTATTTTCATTCTCTAGAGAGTTCTAGGACTACACTCCTAGAAAGAAAAGACACTTGGTCTTTTTATTTTAATTCATCTTTGTAGTGCATGCATCTTCCAACTTGTATCGCTAGCCATTAACTTGAATCAACTGTTAACCTGTCTCAAAGGCTAGAACAACACAACGATTAATTCATAAATATTTTCTGTAGAAATAAAATTATAAGCATACCCTTTGCATAGAGTAGCATACTGAAAATATCTAACTCATGCCAAAAAAGAGCATTCTCATCATCACAAAAATTCTTACAATAATGATACATATAATTTTGCACTATATATATATACCCCCACATTTCAAGGTATTAAATAATTACATTCAACAAAATTTTATTACTAAATTCAATGTCAGATAGTTTTCACCATCTTATCCTAATAATACATAGTCTATATTATTTAACTTTCATATTAATATAATATCTAAAAAAAGATTTGTGATATGCCTGTATTTCTTTATATAGACTATATGGGTGATGCAATTTCGATTAGTATACATTAATGCATGAAAACATTATAAATAACATTGTGAATTATTTTTTCTAATGTCATCTCAATCTGCATCTTCATATATACACACACACACACACATTGGTACACTAATATAAATTTGTAAGGTATCATAAAGTAGTTACATAGAGCATTTATTAAGTTGAATCCCAATATACTTGATTCCCAGAAAAATCGATGTATGTTGTATAATGTATATCATGAGTCATGACAACGCTAAAGTTGCATTACATATGAGTATGATACGACAATCACTTACATAGACCAGATATACAAGCTGAAAAAATTAACGACTACTTTATGAAATTTTCAGTAACACAAACAAAGTTTTATTGAATTGGGATAGAATATAAAATAAGAAGATTTAAATTTTCAATACCTCTCTCTCTAAAGATATGTCACTTTTCTAATTGTATGATGGATATAAAACACAGTCACCCTTCTTGTTTGGGTATCCTTTTAACTTAAATAAATTAATGGTTTTAAAATCTGAATTAAAGAGGAGTTTAACTGAATAAGTTTTCTTACTTAAATTTTTTTTAATAATAATTCCAAATAGAATCAATAACAGTGAAATAATAATTATATATATATATATATATATATATATGTATACGTATACAAACACGTAGCCTGAATTCTAACCACTCTACAAATATATATATGTTATAATTTTTTTTCCTTTTTCTTTTAAACTTTTAGAAATAATTTCAGAGATGGATATTCCAATAACATTAATTGAATATCACTCCCAATCAAAGTCAATAACTCAGTAATTAGGTGCAACAGTATATGGACACATTGTAAGATTTAGTTTCACTAGATTACTTTTCTAAAAGACACGATTTATTTTTTTTTCATCATATTTTTATTCAACGGTAATTACTTCCAGAAGGTAACTTCTTTTAGAATTCAAAATGACAAAAAAAAAAAGAAGTTACAATTTAAACACTTTTGTAAAAGACGCGACTTTTAATAACGATTATAGATAGAAACAACAATCTTATAGAATTTTAATTTTAGATAATCACATTAGTTAAACGATGTGAGTTTTCATTATTTTAGACAAAGGTAATAAACATTCCGGATGAGTTCCGGTTAATTCAACTAACAATAATCTTTTAAAGTAATTTATTCAAAGGTGTCTCCCAACACCTACTCAGAGTTTCCAATAGCGTTGTAATTATAACAATGCACAGCTGATAATAAAATAATTTTAATGTTAACCAATTAATTAACTATATGAATATATAGATATCCAAAACATAAATTAAACCAAACTTACTCTATTATTCTTCTAAATTTTAAAACAAAAAAAATATCAGGTTATAAGTTTATGCAAAGAGACGTGACTTTTCACTCTTTCATATAAGGATATTAAAAATTCAGAAGTAAACAGTCTCCAGATTATACCAGTATACAGCTTTTCTAAAAGACGTGATTCCTCAGTAATTTTATTTAAAAGGACACAATTTCTTTTAGAATTCATTTAGAGTTTTTAGTTTATACAACGCTTTTATAAAATAAAAAATAAATAAAAACTGTGACATTACAGTGTTGACAATCTAATGGCTGTGAAGGTTTTTTGTTTTTTTTTGTTTTTCCTTTCTACTTCTTTTATTTTACTCGTAGCTTACTCAATACAACATATCAAACAAATACTCAAACAAGGAACAATTAACAGTAACAAACAAGGAACAATTAACAGTAACATATATTGATGTATTAATTCAATTTTATATGAGGCAGAATAGGCAATGACTCAAAAGAGATTCAATACACATGAAACATTCTATATTATCACTATCATTATCATTGCGTGAATGCAAAACATAATCTATCATTTTATTACCGACATAAAATATGAAAGATGATACGAAGATCAAATTGACAACCAACTTAAAACTTTGGAAACATAGAACGATATATAAAGAGACGAATGTAAAGGCATTAAAATGTTGGGGATTTTTAATATTTTTATACCATCTTATTTTTAAGTTCATTCACGTAATCATATTAAAATGTTACACTTATATATTCATATCACAATATAATCATAACACAATATATATAGTAT